TGTATTTTTTATAATGGTCGTACATTTTGGTTTTCAAAATTTTATTTTTAGTTTCCACTGAATAAAGCTGAAACGTAAGAAATAATAATGAACTAAAAAAAAAACAATAGATTTTTATTCGTGTAATGCTCGTTTTTTACCGCGTGCGCATATAGTGTGTTAATACAATTACAGATATGATTTTATTTGAAATTTATAATGATTTATTGGAAATCGTATTGATTATAGTTTTTAGTAATAGCGAAATTATAGTTTAATTTCGAAATAAACAGTCTATTATTTCAACATTTCGGGAGTTCATGCATCATGCATATAATGACATACGACAAATTGCTGCTTACACTTACATTTACCTTGTTGTGATACGCATTATTAACTTTTCTAGTATCACCTACAACTACAAATATGCCCAACATAAAAAATTTCAAAGTAATAAGTGACATTCACTAGAAGAAGTCTTCATCATATTAACAGATATGATACAAAATCCTATTGGGAGAAAAAGATTGTGTAAGTGATTTAAATCCACTTTTTTTATTATTTAGAACATGTGTATAATTAGAAAACTTATTATTATAGCTTAGATGTAGAACTGATGAGACCTCAAAAGGTAGGAGAAATTTTTGCAACAAAATCCTATCTTGGACACGTGGTTCTGCTCTGTGCAGCATCAAAAGGGGACAAAGGTATATATTTCTGTATATGTATATATATATATATATATATATATATATATGTATATAAATTTTTAGTGATTTTTTTATCAATTTGGAAGAATTTGAGCTCTTGGGAGCAAAGAAATTCGAAAATGACCATATTAAGGACCCCCTAATATATATGTATATGTATATATATATATATATATATATATCTATATATATATAAATCTCGTGTCACGATGTTGGTTCGCGATGGACGCCCAAACTACTGAACCGATTTTAAATTTTATTGGCTCATCGTGTGCATATATGTCCAACTTAGGTTATAGGAAATTTTGAAAAGTAAATTTGAAATATAATAATAATTTTTAAAAATTTCTAAAAATTTTGACAGAAAATGACCAGAAAAAAAACAAAACACTAAAATGACAAATGTCAAAATTTAAGGAAATTTCGATATATAATTTTTGAAAGAAAAATTTGACATTTCAAAAAATAAAATTCAAAAACATGTACATATATAGAAATATCCAACATTTAAATCCAAATTTGATGAAATGCTATATTCAAAATCACTGTTTATAGTTTTAAATCTAATTAAAAATCAATGTTTATAAATTTAAATAAAAGTTGACCTTAAAAAAACGAGAATTGACATTTGACAATATTTATACAAATTATTAGATAAACAGATTTATAATTTATATTTATTTGATTTGCTTACGAAATTAATTCGAATACCAAAACTTCCTCAAAACATTATAGATCACAATAAAAAAACGACATATTAAATTTAATATTAATAATAAACAAAATTTTGACAGTTCAGAAAAATTGAATTTTTAACGACTTCAATAAGAAACAAATACATTAATTATTCAAAGTTTTGTTATAGGCAATATTGTAGATACAAAACATTATTGAAACATATATTATATCATATTATATTAAATTTCGACCAAGAAGGAAATATTTATTTAGTTTTATATTTTTTATAAATTTCCATAAATTTTGACAGAAATTTACTAAAAAAAACAAAACGCTAAAATGACAAATGTCAATATTTATGGAAAAACGATTTATGATTTCTGAAAAAAAAATTGACAATTCTAAAAATATATTATTTAATACTTATTGAAAAAGAAACAGATATATTATAATATATCCAACAGTTATATCCAAATTAGGTAAAATGCTATATTAAAAATAATAGAAATATATAATGTTTATAAATTTAAACAAAATTTTGACAGGTCAAAAAAATTAGTATTTTTAACGAATTCAAATAAGAACAAATACATTAATTATTCCAACTTATATTACAAATCATATTTAAGATACAGAATAATAAAATTTATCAAATTTAAATAAATTTGGGCGGTTACGAATTTGAAACAAATGCCGAAAATGACGTTTGTTAATATTCCGGGAAATTTATGAATAAATTGATTTATGATTAAGATTTAATTTGCTTAAGTTGTTGATTCAGGTAAACATCACAAAATTAATATAAATCATGATTGAAAACTAAATATATCATATCATATTATATTAAATTTCTAAGTGCCAAAAATCAAACATAGATTTGAACTCGAATTCCTCACAACTTTATCTATGTTAGTTTCAGGGATAGTATGAATATGAATTTATAGTCGGAAATTTATATTATGTTTTGTAAATAAACACAAATTTAAAAAAAATGCATTGAAATCGATGACTGTCTAATCATTAATTTATGGAAAATTTTCAAAGAACATATTAAAGGCTTATAGCAAGTTCCCAATAGTATTGACCAATAGTATGCGAAACCATTTCTAAATAAAGCATCGTTGAACATGTTAAAATGTTAGCTAAAGGTAAATAGGACGTAATACCAAATAAGATAAAACAAATTTATAAAAATTGCTTGGTTATTCATTATACATTTTGCAATGTACTCATTTATTCAAATGTTTAATTATTTCAGTTTATTTATTATTTAAGTTTAGAAAAAACACTAATCAATAGGATTGATCCATCATATTCAAATTTCAATCCGGATTTTATTTATTTTTGGATTGATATGAATTTTTTATAACAAAAGGTTTGAAATTTGGTTGTCAAACGGATTCAAATTTCAATCAGGTGGATTTTAATAAGGGCCGTTGCAACGCAAGGCTGGGTATGCTAGTATATATATATAAATCTCGTGTCACGATGTTGGTTCGCGATGGACGCCCAAACTAATGGACCGATTTTAAATTTTAATTGCTCATCGTGTGCATATATATCCAACTTAGGTTATAGGAACCCGAGTCAAAAAATAAGTTCTAATTAGGACCCTACGCTTCGAACTAGCTGCTTTTAGGTACATAAAGCTCTTTCCAAGTACGTAAAAACAGTTACAAGCTCTTTTAGAATCGAAAGTACTACTAGTCCAGTCATTTGGTGCAAAAAAAGGCTGTTGCCGGTACAGTACTCCGGGAATTCTGAAAATTGGTAATCTTATAGATTTCGAGGTGTTCTTTACGAAAATCAAATTTGCCACCTCAAATTTGAACGGCAAGTTGCCGCCATATTGGAAAAATGGCGTCAAAAAATAGTTTTTTTGAAATATCTCCTTTCTGGCTCATTCTACGATAAAAGTATCTATGTACGAATTAAACTAGATAAAATTTCCTACAATTCTTTAGAAAACCGTGTTTTTGTAAAATTGATAGTTTGAGAGTACGGCCGCCTCAAAGTCTTTGCTGCTCTCGCCGTAGTATCAAATCTCTCCATGTATGACAGCACTTTGAACTTGACCACGTTCTTTCTAATAAATAAATATTTTCAACTTTAAATTAAGCCAATAAGATCTAGAAATGAAATAATTAAAATATTTTTCTGTTTTTTGCTGATTTTTTAACACTTCAAGCTACTTACTTATAGCTACTTTGCCATTGAAGTGTTTAAAAAAAATCAGCAAAAAACAGAAAAATATTTGAATTATTTTATTTTTTTATTTCTAGATCTTATTGGTTTAATTTTAAGTTGAAAATATTTATTTATTAGAAAGAATGTGGTCAAGTTCAAAGTGCTGTCATATATGGAGAGATTTGATACTACGGCGAGAGCAGCAAAGACTTTGAGGCGGCCGTACTCTCAAACTATCAATTTTACAAAAACACGGTTTTCTAAAGAATTGTAGGAAATTTTATCTAGTTTAATTCGTACATAGATACTTTTATCGTAGAATGAGCCAGAAAGGAGATATTTCAAAAAAACTATTTTTTGACGCCATTTTTCCAATATGGCGGCAACTTGCCGTTCAAATTTGAGGTGGCAAAGTTGATTTTCGTAAAGAGCACCTCGAAATCTATAGGATTACCAATTTTCAGAATTCCCGGAGTACTGTACCGGCAAAACGACCAAATGACTGGACTATACAAATAAACACATTATATTTTTGACATATACAACATAACCTCATCGCATAACCTCACCACTAGCAGAACATCTGAAAAATGCTTAAATTTACATGTTTGTTTAAATGTATAAACAGAATATATGATATGTCAAATCTCCAATTTCTCATGTAAATAATTAAACATAATTAAATGTATTACAACTAATAATAAAGTGTAATAAAAAAAACATTTTAATAATAAAATTTATTAAGTACATAACATACATAAAAGAAACTAATTATTTTTAACTCTTTGTTGCCTTTTTTTTACTCTAATTCATACTTATTTATAGGTAATCCTACATAAATATTTCCATCAATATTGATATATATACAAACATATAGTAATGATTTTACAGGAATAGCAATGAAGCTTTTTTTTCTTGTACATTTTTTTATAAATGAATAATTTAAACTTTTATATTTGTGACCTTTGCCGATGAAGCAATCTTCAATATTGGATTCTTCCACAATAGCAAAATGTTCATTATTAATTTTTAAAAAATAATGCAAGAATCCAATATTGTATTTGTTATTTAAATTGTAAGAAATAGCACTGGAATAAGTTTGCATGTTATTCCTGTACATTTCAGCAATAAATAATTGATCATTCTTCAAAACTCGAAGATAGTATTTTAAAGAAATGTTTTCAACTGTAATGTTAGAGGTTCGAAGTGCAACCTCTACTTTGCTTGGAAACTCTTTAAATACTTTATATACTCCAACACTATAAGTATGTTCAAATATTTTTTCAATTATCTTCACCTGTTTTTTTCTTTTTAAGCAAAACTCTTTAACTTCCTTATTTTTCATACATTCAATTATTTTCTCCTTCTTTATATAAAATTCTTGAGATTTGCTTACTTGAGAATCAATATGCCGTGTTCCATGAATTAATTTTAATAATTGGCCATTTATATCCTCATATTCGAAACAAGAATATACCCACAATGGTCCAAGATTCTGTACACAGTCTGGTAAATGTAATAATTGATGTACATTTATGGAGCAGTACATTTCACCATACAAGTATTCAAAACATTTAACATATTTGTGTAAAAAATCTCTAGCAACATCAAGTTTATACAAAGATATAGTATTGGAATTCAAAATGGAAATTCCAGCCACGAGCAACACATAATGTTCAAAATATTGTGGTGCAAGAATTCCATACAAAACAGGTAACGAGTAATGAAAAAACCACAATTTTAATTCTGATGCTTTCCAATGTAGTAACTCTGTAACACTTCGAGGCATCCGATGCACAAATTTGGGTGGTTTTATTGATTTTAATCTAGCATCAATTACATTTATCACGGCATATAAAGAAAAAGGCTTATTTTTAAATTCAGTATTGAAAAATAAAGATAACAATTTTTTTACAACACCACCTTCTACACAATGCATCCTATCAATGGCCATCCCCATGACATAATCAGGCATAATCAGTGAAAGTGCTGTGGGACCTTTGATTCCCATTATTGGTGCATCTCTTGAAGCATTGTCAGCAAATGATCTGCAATTTTGTAATGTTCTTTTCTCAATATTATTAGTATATGGGTATACGTGAACATTACCACCTGTTTCTAATGTAAAATTCATGCCTGGGCAAAAACAATATGAGCAACCGTAGTACCCGTTATACTGGACAAAATTTAAACAATCACTTCTAGCAGGCAAATCACAAGTGCCCAACAAAAGAATACCCTTGACTGTAATATTAATTCTCCGACATGGTATGTAAACCTCAATACCATTGACAAGTTTCTTTAGATCATCATAAAACACATGAAAAAAATAATTCATATTAGGCTTTTTGTCTCCATACCAAAGACCTAATAATAATGTATTTTCCCTTTTTTTGCGTTCCTTAATAGGTAACTCATTAAGTGTTAAATAAATAGGCCATGCACTGATTTTTGAGGATTTAAATACTGGTATGCCGTCTGTATACCAAGTGAATGAAATATTGTCAGGGTTACAAAGAAAGCCCTTTTGTACATATTTACGGTATAAAACACCATCATAGACATCAGATATACAATCTGGGTTATTATTTATCCGCTTATTATGGCAATCTTGTAGCTTCGAATAAAATCCATCTCTCTTGTACATTTCTCTCAAGTGTTCAAGAAATGGTAATTGAATAAAATATGGATTTTTTTTTGGGGGGCATGATGGACAAATGCTGTCAGATTCCAGTTGCACTCGTCCACAGAAATGGCAATAGTAATGTTTAATAAATTCAGAATGATCTAAAGAAAAATATTTTCTAAATTTGTACAGACTGTTTTTAACCAGTCTACTTTTCATACAATGCAAATTAATAACAGCAATTATATCAGCTATGCACTCTAGTGAAACGGTATGACGTAAAAAAATCATTAATATGAGAAACATGCTATTTGATACTGTTATTGGAGCATTTTCGTAAACCTGTTCATCAAAATTGACTTCTCTCTCTTCGGGTTGATCTAATTCAGATTCATCTTCCACTTCAAACACACATTTATGTTCAAGTTCATCTTCTTGATCATTTTGTTGAGAATAATCATAAACATCATTTTCAAGAATAGTATCATATCGTACACCATCATCACTGTAAAACGTATAATTAGACAAATTGATATGTGTAACAAAAATACAAAAAATAATTGATTTATAAAATGAAATGAAATCTACATGCTTACCGTGTGAGAGTTGAAATATTTTCAACTAAGTTTATAGATTCTCTATTATTTTCTCTATTAAAAGCTTGCATTAGCCGTTTTCGCATTTGTCGAGGGCCAACTTGATCTATAGATTTCCTTGGTATCATTTTAATACTTATATAAATGACAATTAATATATAAAACAACTCAAAAAATGAAAACACCAAAATTGCAAACACAAAAAACTGTATATGCAACGAAATTCAATGTGCACGTACATTTCGCGCCATAAAAGCTTAACAAGTTGTCTGCCGACTGAAACTGAAAATTATGTGATCATAAAAAATATAACATAAATAAATAAAAATATAATTTACATTAATTTTAATCTAAATAAATGATAATATAACATGAATAATAATATAAATAAAGACGAAAAAACACATAATGCAGAAAGGCAGAAAGACATAAATAAATAATACTATTATTTACATTAATTTTAACATAAATACATAATAATATAACATAATAATAACATAAATAAAGACGAAGGAACACATAATGCATAAAAGTAGCGAAACTACGGTCGGCGGTCAACTTGTTATCAACATCTGGTTTTTGAAACATAGTAAAATCCCGAGAATAGCGAAATGGCGTTGGCGTCGGTAGAGTGATTTGATCATTTGCGCGCGGTTTACTTGTTGGGTTTCGTTTTTGCTTTAAATTGTGTTATTTAAATTTAATTATTAAATTTATTTAATTATTAAAAATGCCTAGAACAAAAATGTTTGCGTTAGTGTTGTGGATGGAATCAAATCCACGTTGTACCGATATATTTCCTTTGAGGAGTATTTGCCCTACTGATAGGTATGTAAATGCAATCACAAAATTAAAGTGGAAAACAAGCAACAATGTTAAGGCAGGCAGAGGCGAAGCAAAGGTTTTGGCTATTAGCGGTATGTATATCTCAATGATTATTTTATAAAATGTATTAAATTTATTTTTAACTGAAAATATTGAATTTTAGATGATATGCAATTCTTGAACAATATGATTGTTAGTGTGGATGGCGACATAAATGTTCCTGCTAACAAAATATTTATGGCAAACATTGTTCAGGAAAATGCATCTTTACAAGAAAATCGAAAGGTAGAGCAGATAGTTGCTCTATCGAATCGAAAAGTTATGGATGCCAGGCTAAGGGTTAAGCCAACTATTTTTGATGGTGGTAATGCACTTAGCCTCACTAATGTTGACCAGGAGTATGTGATACTTGATGATACACCCATCGATTATGTTGACGACCAAGGCAACGTGCTTATTATTAATGGAGCTCCTGAGTCTACACATGAGATTCAGGAAATAATTAATGTGAATGACAGTGATTCTGAAGAGAGTTGTAGTTCTGCTAAATCAGCAGAACTGCAGTGCTCAGAGGACAATGTTAACGCAAACCCTCTGACAATTTCTTTTAAAGGTACAGTATAATATTTTAAAAATAATGTTTTTTATATCGAATAACTACATATTTCTATTGAATTAGTTACCCCGGAAATAATAGAGAGTGCACGTGTGTGGTTAACTGCATTGCAGGTTGCATATAAAACACAAAATGAGGTGAAGAAGATCGAGAATGTGCAATCAAATGCAATGGTCGAATCCAACTATAAATTCAAGGTAGTTATAAACTTCTCTTCATAAACCATGTAATATTTATGCAGAGTGCACCGTAAGTCTTTTTACTTTTTTCTTTATTTAAAAGGTACACAAACTCCATATGTGACCCATTCAAAAGCAAATTGACTTTTAGTTCACACTGTAATTAAGGATATAATTTATGTTCCAATCAACAATCTTTTTTCTACTTATAGATTCCAGCATGCTTCTACACTCCTGGAGAAAACATGGTAAATTAATGAATAAAATGCTTGCTTTTATAAGATATTTTCAATGCTAGGACTAAATATGTTTAATTCTGTAGGAAGAAATATCTCCAGGGTGTGGATTCTTTCTTCCCAAAAATAAAATAATATATATTGAGCAAATGTCGAAAGCAAACGGAACAGAAAATGGCTGGGTGAATGTAGTAAGGGAGGTGCTGCTTCTCGTTTATGGGGAGCAGTTGAAAAACTTCTCAGCCACTGGGATGAGGAGTAAGCGGCCTCCAATCGACCAAAATTTATTTGGAGGGTTATTTGGTAAATTTTTAAACATGCTTATATTGATATAATTGATATTATTATTAAGTATCTACTGAGGATTTGAAAAACATTAACAGCTACATAACTGAAATATAATTTATGCACATGAATCTAAACTGTTTTTAATGAAATAAATTGATATTTGTAAATGTGAATAGTATTAATGCAAGTATTATTTTTTCCAGATTGGTGCCGTCGATTGAAACTTATGCTGGACAAAAAGTCATTTATACATTACGTAAATAAATGTTGTGCCAATAAACGGGCAAATAAAAAATAAATATAAAATGTGTTTAAATTATTTATTTATATATGTACCTACTTCAAAGACCTTATAAATACATATATAATTGCAATCCATATGTATTATAAGGCCTATGACCTACCTACATTTTTATAAAATTTCAGGAAAATTTAAAATCGTAATAACCTAACCTCAAACTTACACCCTGACAGTTTTGACATTTATGCTCTTTTAAGTAGCTATAGTACCTTGAAAATGCAGGCTCTTTTAGGTAAATTACGTTCCTAAAACTGCACTAAGTGGGGTCTAATGTACCTAAAAGATCTTAAATTTATATGGCGAAAAGTGGTTAATTCTCAGGTTTCGGAACTGTTTTGAGTACTTAAAAGATTTTAAATTTCGACTCGGGAAATTTTGAAAAGTAAATTTGAAATATAAATATATAATTTTTTAAATTTCTAAAAATTTTGACAGAAAATGACCAAAAAAAAAAAACAAAACACTGAAATGACAAATGTCAAAATTAAAGGAAATTTGGATATATAATTTTTGAAAAAAAATTTGACATTTCAAAAAATAAAATTCAAAAACATGTACAATATAGAAATATCCAACATTTATATCCAAATTTGATGAAATGCTACATACAAAATCACTGATTATAGTTTTAAATCTAATTAAAAATCAATGCTTAAAAATTTAAATAAATGTTGACATGAAAAAAAAATTAAATGTCATCTGTCAATATTATGAAAATAATTATATAAATAGATTTATGATTTAGATTTAATTGATTAGCTTACCAAATTATTTCGGAAACCAAAACTTCATTAAAACCTTATAGATTAGAGATCACAATAAAAAAGCGGCACTTGAATTTAAAAATAATCATAACCAAAATTTTGACATTTCACAAAAAAAGAATGTTTAACGAGTTACTTCAATAAGACGCAAATGAATTAATTATTCCAAGTTATGTTATAGGCAATATTGGCAATCAAATTATAGATATAAATTATATCATATTATATTAAATTTCGAACCAAAAAGGAAATATTTTGGCATTTAAAAATTTAGTGCATATTGGATATATGAAATTGACATTCAATATTTTTAAATTAAATGCAAAAGTAAAAAATCTGATATTTATATAAAAATTATATATTTAGATAATAGTACTGCGCTGATTCAGACTAAAATCTAATTTATTCATTGATTAAAAATATTTCACTATTTGACATTACTATTATTTTAATTATTATTTATTCATTCATTTATTCTATCTTAATTCCTTTATTCTATTTTTTTTCTTTTTGATTGATTTAAACCATAACTTTTAACTTATAGATTGTATTGTAATCATAAAATTAACAGAAATAAAATTTAAAATAAAAAAAAAAAATTGACATAATAAAATTAAATAAACAAGCACTATGATGCGTTCGAATTAATTATCAAAATGTAAAGAAATTCGTGTAAAAAAAAATATAACATTATTATTAATATATCATGTATATTATAAGAACTTTTGCAATGCGGAAAATATTTTTGATGGCAAAACAGCGTTTGCCGGGTCGTCAGAGTATATATATATACGAGGTCTGTTCAAAAGTACCCGGAATTTTCGTTTTTTCAAAAAAATATTTATTTATTCGTCTACATTAATGTGGTCCCCTTCAAAGTAGTCCCCCCCAGATATAATACACTTATGCCAGCGTTTTTTCCAATTTTCGAAGCACCCTTGATATTCACTTCTTGATATGTCCTTGAGCACTCTCAGCGATTTTCTTCAATCGAGGAAAACCGCCGTCCTTTCATGGGTCTCTTCAACTTTGGGAATAGGAAAAAGTCACACGGAGCCATATGTGGTGAATTTTTGCACTTTGCAACACTTTATTTCATTTTTTACGCAAAATTTAATACAAATTCTTTGACTTTTCAATTCTTCCATTGTAAAAATCGCCGAGCTCAGAAAAACACGTCGAACCTTAGCGACTACCACAGACAAAGTAAACAGTGAATATAGCTGAAAATTCATCATACTTTAGGGGCATGTATACCAACACAATAAAAAAAAAATTTTGACAATCAGACACTCCAGACCCGCGAAATTAATTATTAGTAATTCCGGGTACTTTTTGAACAGACCTCGTATATATATGATCACAAATTATTTTACGTAAATATTCAGGATTGAGATACGGATTTTTTTCTCTGAACATTGTCTGCGTTCAATTAATATTTGTCCTTGTGTTGATCGGAACAGTATTTTTTTTTATTACACTCATATTGCCGACCACTTTGTAATGATTAAACACATGTTGTTTGATTATTACAAAGTGGTGTTTAATTACAAAATCACACAACGATAACAGCCCCTAAATATTTACAAAGGTTTTATTTACCCTTCCTCAAACTTGAATAATATATCATGAAAATGTAACATACTTGATTTCATTATCTTTTTTTTATAACAGATTTCGACATGATTTCCATTGGCTTGTTTTCAAGGCAATGAATTAATGTACGAAAAGGAGGAAAGTACATTATCTCTCCTACCAGTATTGTATGATGGCGGCGAAAACGTAGAAATATACTTCGAAAAATTCTTAAAGAAAAAAAACTATATCTACACGCATAAAAA